GTGAACTAAGATTGTAATTAGATTGTAATTCATGGGAGAAGTGAGGGAGGCAACATGGGTTTGGGATGGGGAAGAAAGTTAAGGTTAGAGATGGTGCGCTTTGCCACACTGGTTGCAAGATTACTATGTTGCTAGGAATGTCTTCCAGGATCAAGAAGGAATAGGGAGGCCATCAGAGCAAATCACTTGCAAATCAATTTTGAGCACTCAAACTGGTTTGTGTGTTGGCCAGCTGGTTAGAGTCTGTCTGACTTGCAGTTTCATATAGACTGTAATCTGATTATCAGCAGTGTGTATGCTGAGTCCCAATGTGCCTTCACAAATATTGGGTGCATATCTGATAGTCATTATTTCTGGGCCTTAGAATGAAAATAGAGATAATAGGTGAGGTATTGTACTGGTGGCTATAGATACTTTTTTCATTTTAGATACATATATATATGGTATATATATTTTGTTGTTGTTTGCAACATGAAATTAAAGTGAATATTTTAGGGTAAAAGGAAAAGGGAATATTGATGTTTTACCTATATTACTGTTTTATTTATTCAGTAGTGATCATAATATGCTAATACATTGACATAGTAGTTTACTTTTTGAGGACATCCACTATTCTTTTATTCATTCATTTTGCTACATATAATATGGGTACTACATTCACAATTTTGAAACAAATTTTTATCTTATTTGAAGTTTTCATTGTTTAATATACTGGGTTGAAACAACCAAAAGAAAAACAATTTACCTGTGAGTTTTTAAGGGTCGTATGTTACTGGGAGCCCTGAGTACTGTGTACCCAGTCATGACATGAAGGACTGCCCTCTTTATAAATGCATCCAGGAAACAATTAACTTTGCAGTTTTTCCAATTAGTCTTTTAGGCAGTTTACCGAAGTTGCTTTCAGAAGCCCACTGAGGACTTGTTTTCAGTATTGTTTGAGCCTGGCAGGTACAGGAGGAACACGTTTGGACAAGTAGATGCTCCTCCCCTAAAGGAGTGTGGAAGGCCCTGCAGTGCCTGAGTCCAGAGACAGCTTGTGCCCCACACCATTTTCTTGGATCTCTTCTCTTGACTTGTGGCCTGCGAGTCACACAGCTGAGTGAGTGCTCGGGTTGTACTAACATCCAAGTAGCCTCCTGCTACCATTTTTCTTTCTATAAACTCCTTTATACTGCAGGGAGCTTAGTATTATTTTGTTTCTGCTGCTTTCTTTTAATACTGCCTTCTTCTTTGGAAGCAACCAGGATCTTGATATATTTAGCAAAGGGTGCACTCCAGAATCATGGACTTGAAAAGGGTTTCTCTCTACTCCATGTCCGCAGCCGAAAGCCAGTAATATCTGCAACCTAAGCCTACAGGCACACCTTCCCCTGGCAGCTGAAATGTCTATTTTCTATCTTGTTAGACACAACAACAGTAATATTAATAAGAGTGAGGCTTCAGCAAATGCTGGCTAATTGTATTGTTTGGGATTACTCTAAATTATTCAGTTATATTTAATTTATTAAAAGGACATTGGATTCAAATTGCAGATCTGTGAGTTATCTGGGCAGATTCCCTAACCCATCCATGCCTCAGTTTCCTATTTTCTAAAACACTCATCATGGGATCTATTTGAGGATCAACTGAAGTATTACCATAGTATTACCTCACTCAATCTTTATAAATCTGTCATTGTGGTAAAAAGTCAATAGCTAGTTGCTACCTGAGTGGTAGTAAGAATTAGTAACCCCCTTTCAAATGAACGGCAGACGTGCTACCTGTTGCCCGAGTGCTAGAGCTGACCCAGGTTCACACAGCGTGTGGGGGGGGGAAGAGCTGGGTTGGCATGCAGCTCCCTAAGTGCTGTTCTCTCCTGCTGCTGTAAAAGTGGCGTTCAGATGCCGATTATTACCTGCCGTCTCCTTTGGGAAAACGAGGAAGTCAAGTAACTCCAACTTGACTGCAGTGTAATGACTTGAGACAACCGTTTGTCTGCTGCAGCCAAGTGGTGCCGTGAATAAATCACAAATCTTTCAAATTTTACCTGTTACCCTACCCACACTAAGCAATGCTTCAAGGTCAGAGCTCTGCTTCGTACTCGTGTACCACTTAAGCCTTAGTTTGCTCAGCTGTAAAATAGGGTTAACAGCAGTACACACCTTAAAGTTGTGTGAGGGCTTTTAAAATAAATAAATAAGTGTGTGTGTGTGTGTGTGTGTGTGTGTGTGTGTGTGTGTGAAAATATTCAGTAGACGTGGACATGTGTTAAAACTATAAAATGCGTGTTAGTGGTTGTTGCTTTAGTATTAAGGCTAGAAGGACAGTCTGTGCCATATGCATTCTAATATGTTAGAAAAAGTCATTTAAGTAATTCACAGAAATTAGTATTAGAAATTGCCTTGCCCAGCTGGCATGGCTCAGTGGTTGAGTGTCAAACTATGAATCAGGAGATTGCAGTTTGATTCCTGCTCAGGGCACATGCCCGGGTTGCAGGCTGGATCTCCAGTGTGTGGCGTGTAGGAGGCAGCTGATCAATGATTATCTCTCATCATTGATGTTTCTCTCTCTTTCTCTCTCTCCCCTCCCTTCCTCTCTGAAATCAATAAAAATATATTTTTTTTAAAAAGAAATTGCCTTATAAGAGGAATTGTGGACTCCCTGTATGAATAACTTAATGGCTGTCTTACACCAAGTGAAACTTAATCATTGCTCTTTTTCAAATGCATTTTAGTGTACATTTTTTATGTATGGTTAGTAAGTGTCAGTGACAGATCAAATATGCTAATTAGGTAGAAGATGGAGAGCAGATGTTCTCTTCTGTCCATATTTGCTATATAAGGAGGTAGAAAGTTTGGAAATTCTGTCAGATCAGATAGGAGCCTGGTTTTAACCCCTGTCCTGAAGCAGGGTTGAGTCTTGTTTCTTGTTCATCTTAATGTTTTCCATGTGACTCATCCTCTTCCTTTTAACCACATGGTCATGGTTGCCTCTGCTCTCCTCCCTCTGCTTCACAGTTGTAGGAACTGCAATTGACCCTTGCATTAGTATTAATGGAAAGCTTTCCATCTTGCAATGGAAGAATCTGCAACCTAAAGAGTTTGAGACTTGATCAGCATCATGCAGCTGGCTGGTGACAAACGGGAGGACCAGTTCTCACCATCTTTGCCAGTGTCCCCAAGCATTCCTGTGTTTGGTTCAAGCCTTGGGTTCTTGATAACACCCCCGAGGGCCTCTAATGACCATGGAATCTAGCGCCCGCCCCCCTCCCCCCACACACACACATTACTGTGAGGGAAGGCAATGAGTTCTTGGGGAAATAAGCGGCTTGCCCAAGTCACCCTGATCACTTTTGGCACAGTCAGCACACAAACCCTGGTCATTTTGCTTTCTCCCCCCAAACTAAACTGCTCCATGCCTGTGCCTGTTGTGTGCCCTGAGGACTGTGGGTGATTTCAGCTTGAGTTCACCTCACTTCTGTCCTGCCTTCAGAGCATGCTCTTTTTTGGGGGGGCAGGAGGGGCGTGTAGGAAGTATCATGGTTTTCCTAATTTTCCTTAATTTGAAGGCATACATTAAATAACATACGGCCATTCTTATCTCCCCTATCTTAAATTTTGGTTGCATTTTCTCATAATATAGCATGAAATATTATACTATGTTAAATCATTAGATATCAAGAAAGGAAGAAAAAAGCAGGCAGACTGAAGGGCACAGACACCACTAACCTAAATAAAGCACACCACTCTCATTTAGCCTTCCTTCTCCCACCCAGAGCCCAACGCACAGAGCCCTCTCAGCATGTTGTGTGTGGCTGGGAACATTTCTCCTCTTCTCTTCATGAAATAGTTTCCATAGTCTGACTAATTATGCTTTTCCTGTAGGCTACATTGTTAAGTATGTCAGCAATCTAACTGCCCCTGGAACCCCTTATCCCAACTCACACGTACCTGAATTGCTTTTTCAAGTAGGTGTTGGAAGCAGTAGGTTTACCATAGGATTTTGCTGCAGTAACTAAGAGACACATCTACTTGATCCCTAACTTCAAGGAGGAAAGACTGATAACCTCAAACTAGTAGAAATGATAATGAAATAAAATATCAGCAGTGTCTGGCTCTTTCCCCGAGCCCTGCTATGTAGATGATAATATAGAAACAAACTTTGCTCTTCATTTTTCTAGTAAATTGGAATCTTTAATTAGAAAGTTGTTAAAAATGTTAACATACCTCAAATGAAAGTAGATCCAACTTGAGAATATGATATAAAATTCTATAATAGACAGATCTTAACCTAATACATCAAAAAGTCACTCTGCCATAGACTCACCTATCTTTTAAAGTCCTCTTTATAACTTAGAAGGGGTCAGATTTCCATGCTTGCTTCTTGTTTTCCTTAATCAAGCGAAAACTCCCTAATGATTTGAACGTAAGCCAGAGCAGGCCGTTGCTGAGCTGTTTGTCAGTAGCTGGGCAGTTTTCTCAGTGCCTTTTCTGACATGTTTTAACATGATCTCCTAAGGATTTAGAATGAAAATTGCCCTGTTCTTTGTGGTACAATGAAAAGATTGAGATTCTTTTATCAAAATGAGGCAATCAGAATAGAAAAATTTCTGTTTTCCTTCTGGTCTTTTTTTCTAAACATAAAATGTGAGCAAAAGATTATGAAACAAATTTAAGTTTTGGGTCTTGGTAAACAATTACAAGGCACTTTCGATTTGTGATAAAAAAAATTCTCCAATAGAAATGATTTCCAGAACATCATTTCTACATTCGAAGGCACATGCACACAAACACACTGTACATTTTCTGCCTGCCTGCCTCGTACACAGTGAAGCTCTGGGAAGGACACATGGCGCCTGTGTCAAAAAGTGGTGCTTTCAAAGACATATCATTCAGTTAGCGTTCTAATTCCTCCCCTTTCTTCAGACCTCAGATTTCAGCAGAGGTGCAATCAGTCTTAATCAGTGCTGCGTCCTATCCACCACAGCTTTTCAGACAATTAGAAAAAAAGTTTTTATTTACCTTTCATTGCGGTAGTTGGTTGTCCATTCACCTGATACTGGTGTCTTTAAGTTGAAACAGGCTTCTCAACTCTAAGTAAGAATACACTTTAAAACTAAGGTTGGCGGGGATGTGGGGTTTTGGGGAAAGCATGGAAAATAAACATTTTCCTCCCCTGCCAGAGAAGGTAGGTGCTTCCCAACCTGTCTTGAGATGGTCCTCTGGGCACCTTGCAGTCTCCTGTTCAGGAACAACTGGAGCAACTTGCTCTCTTGCTAATGTCAGTGACTCACATCGAAGAGCAGGTGAGATCTGTAGACTGGGGCAGAGCAGTTCCTGAACCAGCAGGAAGCAGACGGTGAGTCACCTGAAGGAAACACGGAGGGCTGGGCCTTAGGATGCCAGAGCACTCTTTAAGGAAGAGGGGATGAAGTGACAGGTGGGCCCTACGAATCAACCCAGTGTTTCGTTCTTCTGCTTCTTCTTTCTTTCTTTCCTTCTTTTTTTTTTTTTTTTGAAGGGGGAGGGTTTCCTAATGCTAGTAAAAAATATGCATTTACAGCCTTCTTGCTAAGTAAATTTTGGCTCAAAGGAATAAAAATATATTTTATAAAAGACAAATCCTTTAAAGATTTTACATATTACTTAAAGACTAAAATTCTAATGTATATATATTAGTAATTGATAACTTTGGAAATGTGTAGTCTTATGCAAGAATGTGATGGGCTCTACAGAGCTGTTTTTTACAAATACACAGATATAAATATTAAATCTTTTAAAATAAAGTTACTTAAGGGGAAAATTCTCTGAAACTTTTGAATTTTATTCTTTGGCGGGGTTGGGGAGGATCAGTCCTGTTTTTATTAAAAAGATTTAGAAAGAGACTATACCTGGCAAATAAGGGGTGAGGTACTGGCCGGAAAGGTGGGGTGGGCTAGGCCCAGGGGGTTCAAGGGCAGACTGATAAACCAGGTCCTGGTAGCTGCTGAGGAGGTGCCTGAGGGTGAGCTTCAGGCACTGGGGTGACCAGCTGGTTGTCAGGGGTTGCATGGTACTTGGGTCAGCCTGGAATCTCCCTCAGGCCACCCTGCCTTGTCTGCCTAGCTCATTCACTGGCCCTGATCCTGTCCGTTGCCTTCCATGTCCACTTCCTTGACTTTTCCATCATCAGGCGACTCACTATAGTTCATCTTGTCCACGTCCTGCATGTCCTCTTCATCTTGTTCATCATCCTCCAAGCCCTCTTCACTGTCTTCATTCTCCTCTTCCTCCGCATCATGGTACTCTGAGGCTGGCCTGACAGTAGGTACCAGATTGCTGTCTTTGTCTTCGATGCTCTGGAGCCAGGCCTGATGCTGCTGTTCTTGCCGAGCAGCTCGGTCTCATCCACACAGGGTCGGCCTGATGAAAGCACCGTGCCTCCGTCACTCAGGCAAGAGTGAGGGCTCAAGGTGGGCATGGCGGCAGCTGACAGCACCAGAAGCACTTGAATTTCATTCTTAAAACACAAGACAGCTTATTTTATTATCTTTAAAAATCTTTGCACAGTGATGAATTTATATAATCAGATCCCTTTTTCTTATGTAATTAATTTTAGAACTTTCAGATAAAAGTCTCCAAAGGAGTCCAAGACTTGCTTGAATGAAATATTTGAACAAATAAGTGAAAAATAAAAATATAATTTTATGAAATGGAATTAAAACCTGTTACTATCATGAATGACAATAAATGAAAATAATAATCAAAGATGGAAACTTTCTTGAAGGTAGTAAATCAATAATAGATTTACGGAGTGTTTATGCCTTAAGGAAATAATGGACTGTGTAGTTGGTTTTCTTTCCAAGTTTGACAGAAAAACAAATGTGTTTGATTTAAATACCAATAGTTGAATATCAAAATTATGTTACTTCTCTTTTTCCTAATCAAACAAAAACAAACAACTTCAATTTTAATGGTTTTTTCATTCCATTCTTTTTAGGGAGGGTTTATTATGTGTGGATGAGTAGCTAGCCCTAAGGAATGCCTCTGAACAAAAATTAGCCAGCTTATTTAACATTGACTCTGCTTTGTGCCATGGATTTTGCTTTTAGCATCTGAAGGCAGTTCATTGTAGACCTTAGTTTGAAAGACGTGTCCTTCTTGGGTTGAACTTTTTGCCACTTGTCACTATGATCCATACATGGATTATGTACTGCTCTTAATGTGAAACCTAAGTGGCAGAACAACAAATGGCCAAGTCTTAAAAGCATCAGTTCAGAAGGAAAGTACATCCCTTACAGCCTTTTTCAAAGTATGTTGAGCAAAGATCCTCTCTGCAAGTTCTGAGGATTATCATCCCAGATTTTCAGTGGTGTATACAAAATCACATTGAAGAGCTTATTTGGATAAATATTCCACAAGCTTCTGCTAAAGAAATGAAGACACTCTGCTATCCACCTTAAATTTTAATGCATTTATTACTTCGGTTGACTTGTCCTATTGGGGTCAACTAACTATATACTGATGTTTTTTTTTTTTTTTTTAAATATATTTTATTGATTTTTTACAGAGAGGAAAGGAGCGAGATAGAGATAGAGAGTTAGAAACATCGATCAGCTGCCTCCTGCACATCCCCCACTGGGGAAGTGCACGCACACGCAGTACATGCCCTTGACCGGAATCGAACCTGGGACCCTTCAGTCCGCAGGCCGACGCTCTATCCACTGAGCCAAACCGGTTTC